TTTTTTTCTTTTTTTTTTTTGTAAATGTGCATGGAACGCACTCCGCTATAATCAATTTACGTTAAGAATATGTAAGGGAGGTAACTTAGTTTAAATTTTTTATTAATAATATTTAAAAAGATGTATTGTTGTAAATATTCTTTATAAACTCTCTGTCCATTAAGAATTAAACCTTACATATTACGGAAACAACTCTTGACTTGTACTACTGAGGTCCCCTTCTATGAAAATCAAAATATCTACGCACAACGTGATGGGGTTTTCATGGTGCAGCTTTTGGACCAATATTTAGCAACTTCTACATGGCCAATCTTGAAAAAAAGATATGTAATAGCACTAAAAGCCTTCATCTACCTAAGATATGTACATGCTATTCTCATCTTAAAAAATGAATTGAAAAGTACAAATCGAATGAAAAGAATCCACAGATATGAATCGAGGGAAATGGATTGAAAGATTCGAGTAGAATGAAAAGAATCCACAGATATGAATCGAGGGAAATGGATTGAAAGATTCGAGTAGAATGAAAAGAATCCACAGATATGAATCGAGGGAGATGGATTGAATGATTCGAGTAGAATGAAAAGAATCCACAGATATGAATCGAGGGAGATGGATTGAATGATTCGAGTAGAATGAAAAGAATCCACAGATATGAATCGAGGGAGATGGATTGAATGATTCGAGTAGAATGAAAAGAATCCACAGATATGAATCGAGGGAGATGGATTGAATGATTCGAGTAGAATGAAAAGAATCCACAGATAGGAATCGAGGGAGATGGATTGAAAGATTCGAGTAGAATGAAAAGAATCCACAGATATGAATCGAGGGAGATGGATTGAAAAATTCGAGTAGAATGAAAAGAATCCACAGATATGAATCGAGGGAGATGGATTGAAAGATTCGAGTAGAATGAAAAGAATCCACAGATATGAATCGAGGGAGATGGATTGAAAGATTCGAGTAGAATGAAAAGAATCCACAGATATGAATCGAGGGAGATGGATTGAAAGATTCGAGTAGAATGAAAAGAATCCACAGATATGAATCGAGGGAGATGGATTGAAAGATTCGAGTAGAATGAAAAGAATCCACAGATATGAATCGAGGGAGATGGATTGAAAGATTCGAGTAGAATGAAAAGAATCCACAGATATGAATCGAGGCAGATGGATTGAAAGATTCGAGTAGAATGAAAAGAATCCACAGATATGAATCGAGGCAGATGGATTGAAAGATTCGAGTAGAATGAAAAGAATCCACAGATATGAATCGAGGGAGATGGATTGAATGATTCGAGTAGAATGAAAAGAATCCACAGATATGAATCGAGGGAGATGGATTGAATGATTCGAGTAGAATGAAAAGAATCCACAGATATGAATCGAGGGAGATGGATTGAATGATTCGAGTAGAATGAAAAGAATCCACAGATAGGAATCGAGGGAGATGGATTGAAAGATTCGAGTAGAATGAAAAGAATCCACAGATATGAATCGAGGGGAGATGGATTGAAAGATTCGAGTAGAATGAAAAGAATCCACAGATATGAATCGAGGGAGATGGATTGAAAGATTCGAGTAGAATGAAAAGAATCCACAGATATGAATCGAGGGAGATGGATTGAAAGATTCGAGTAGAATGAAAAGAATCAGATATGAATATGAATCGAGTAGGAAAAGAATCCACAGATATGAATCGATTCGATGGATTGAATGAAAATGAAAAAGAATCACAGAGAATCGAGGGAGATGGATTGAATCGAGGGAAAGATGGATTGAATCGAAGATTTGAAAGATTCGAGTAGAATGAAAAGAATCCACAGATATGAATCGAGGGAGATGGATTGAAAGATTCGAGTAGAATGAAAAGAATCCACAGATATGAATCGAGGCAGATGGATTGAAAGATTCGAGTAGAATGAAAAGAATCCACAGATATGAATCGAGGGAGATGGATTGAAAGATTCGAGTAGAATGAAAAAAATCCACAGATATGAATCGAGGGAGATGATTGAAAGATTCGAGTAGAATGAAAAGATGGATGAATGAGGAGATGGATTGAAAGATTCTGAGTAGAATGAAAAGAATCCACAGAATCGAGGGCAGATGGATGAAAATCGAGGAGATGGATTGAAGATGGATTGAAGTAGAATGAAAAAATCCACAGATATGAATCGAGGGAGATGGATTGAAAGATTCGAGTAGAATGAAAAGAATCCACAGATATGAATCGAGGGAAATGGATTGAAAGATTCGAGTAGAATGAAAAGAATCTGTTGTGGTAGGATCCACCTAATTTACGTAGTGGAGTACCGACCATATAAATATGGTTGGTACCGGGTAGGAATGAAGAGATCCAATCCTGAGACTCTGCCCGACTGCGACTAAGTCAACACATTCTCCAGGAACGGTCTTCCCAAGAATATACCAAAAGACTATATGTAAATATTGTGTACACTTTCTTGTTTCCATACATTTTGTTCAAAGTACATTTTGTGTTGTATTATTATTCCATGCATTAGTCAAGTTTCAACAATGGTGACGAGGTAGTAAGAACTTTACTTCACGTTACGAAAAAAAAAAATTGATAGTTGATAGCCTTCAGCAATTGGGACAAGTCTTTGAAGAACCCAGGCTGAAGGGAAAAATTATTAATTAAAAGTCCAACATCTAATAGAACGGCAAAGGATTCTGAAGTTTGGATATTTAAAACTCTTTAAAGGACGATTAAGCATAAAGGAACGTTCACTCAGAAAAATCTGAAAGGTGGCGTAAACGAATAACGGTGAATTAAAAAAAAAAAGAAAAAAACTAGCCGACTACAAAAACATGCATGGAATTAAAAGGCGCACAAATACATCGTGTCGACTTTGAAAGGTAACAAATTCTAAAAAAAAAAAAAAAAAAAAAAAAAATTATTTTTTTTTTGGTTTCTCAACAATATTTTATAAAGCAAGAAATAAAATTAAAAAGTCGTAAGTTGTTTCGATTTTTTTGGTCAGCTTATATTATATTCGTGGATACACAATTTAAAAGTATATTCTTTGTTGCATGAACACTATCAGCTAAAGATGGATGAATTATCCAAAGTCATATCTGAATTATTTAAAGCCCAGCAGTTGAGTCAGCAACGTCAAAGTGAACAGTTTGCCTTATTAATAAGGGAACAACAGAAAAAACAGGAAGAGATGCAGATCAAGGTTTTAGAAATGCAAAAGTTAACACTGGAGAAGTTAAACAGAAATCAGGCAAATGAAGGAAATTCTTCATATTCTAATAACATCATATTTAATTCGCTGGAAACTTTCAACTATGTGCCAGACGAAGGAAAAACGTTTCAAGCGTACTTTAAACGATATGAAGATATTTTCTACACAGACTGTGAAAACTGTTCGAATTCAAGAAAAGTCAGTCTATTACTAAGAAAGCTAGGTACAGCGGAACATAGCAAATTTGTAGATTTTATTCTACCGAGAAGAACAAATGAATTGGAATTATCGGAAACAGTGAAATTGCTAAAGGAGTTGTTTGGAGCAAATATGTCGCTTTGGCATAAGCGGTGGTTATGCATGAATGTCGCTAAATCCGACGATCAGGATTACTTAACATATGCATCTATAGTGAATAGACATTGTGACAATTTCAGATTGGCAGAGATTACGGTTGAAGAATTAAAGTGTTTAATTTTTGCTCAAGGACTGGTGTAAGAGTGCCGAAATAAGACGTAGAGTTTTGTCTAAACTCGAGTCTGAACAAAATCTTACCCTGCAAAAATTAGCAGGAGTGTCAGCGGGCCGTAAGTTTAAAGAAAGAGTCTCAAAAAATCGAAGAAGCTGGCATTGCTTATATTAAAAAAAAAAAAAAACAGTCAAATTACCCATCAGAAAAAAATTGGAGTAAAAATTCGGCGTATTTTAAAAATAGACAAGAAAAATTAAATGAAAAGAATGAGGAGAAAAGGTGTTTTTCAAGTGCTACAAAAACAACGTTGAGTTCTGGGAGCGAGGCATAGTGGACAAGAGAATCGGTGACCTGATTTACATAATTAAAGGGAAAAGAATACTCACAAAAAGGCACCAGAAACAACAAAAAAATGTTACGTTACAGAGCATGAAGAGAGTATACCGGATGAGGAGGAAGATCCCATTGATGTAATGTATGATATATTTCATGTAGAACCTCCACAGAATACTCCTGAACCAAGAAGATCCGGTAGGAAAAGGAAGTTCATGGACCCATTGGACGTGAATCCAAAACGGAAAAAATATTAAAATTAGGCGGATGGACATATGCATATGAAGTATGCAAATGGATCTACAAAGAAATAGCCATAATCATCAACCCATATAGGAAGCCAATTTGAAATCCAAAAGGGATGCCAAGGCTTGGGAGGGGGGTGTTGTGGTAGGATCCACCTAATTTACGTAGTGGAGTACCGACCATATAAATATGGTTGGTACCGGGTAGGAATGAAGAGATCCAATCCAGAGACTCTGCCCGACAGCGACTAAGTCAACACATTCTCCAGGAACGGTCTTCCCAAGAATATACCAAAAGACTATATGTAAATATTGTGTACACATTCTTGTTTCAATACATTTTGTTCTAAGTACATTTTGTGTTGTATTATTATTCCATGCATTAGTCAAGTTTCAACAGAATTCACAGATATGACTCGAGGGAGATGGATTGAAAGATTCGAGTAGAATGAAAAGAATCCACAGATATGAATCGAGGGAGATGGATTGAAAGATTCGAGTAGAATGAAAAGAATCCACAGATATGAATCGAGGAGATGGATTGAATGAGAATTCGAGGAGATAGAATGAAAAGAAAAGAATCCACAGATATGAATCGAGGGAGATGGATTGAAAAGAATGATTCAGGAGTAGAATGAAAAGAATCCACAGATATGAATCGAGGGAGATGGATTGAATGATTCAAGTAGAATGAAAGTAGAATGAAAAGAATCCACAGATATGAATCGTGAATGATTCAAGGAGATGGATTGAATGAATCAGGGAGATGGATTAGATGATGAAAAGAATCCACAGATATGAATCGAGGAGATGGATTGAATGATTCAAGTAGAATGAAAAGAATCCACAGATATGAATCGAAGGAGATGGATTGAATGATTCGAGTAGAATGAAAAGAATCCACAGATATGAATCGAGGAGATGGATTGAATGATTCAAGTAGAATGAAAAGAATCCACAGATATGAATCGAGGAGATGGATTGAATGATTCGAGTAGAATGAAAAGAATCCACAGATATGAATCGAGGGAGATGGATTGAATGATTCGAGTAGAATGAAAAGAATCCACAGATATGAATCGAGGGAGATGGATTGAATGATTCGAGTAGAATGAAAAGAATCCACAGATATGAATCGAGGGAGATGGATTGAATGATTCAAGTAGAATGAAAAGAATCCACAGATATGAATCGAGGGAGATGGATTGAATGATTCAAGTAGAATGAAAAGAATCCACAGATATGACTCGAGGGAGATGGATTGAATGATTCAAGTAGAATGAAAAGAATCCACAGATATGAATCGAGGGAGATGGATTGAATGATTCAAGTAGAATGAAAAGAATCCACAGATATGAATCGAGGGAGATGGATTGAATGATTCGAGTAGAATGAAAAGAATCCACAGATATGAATCGAGGGTGATGGATTGAAAGGAGATTTGAAGATTCAAGATAGAACAAAAGAATCCACAGATATGAATTGGACGATGGATTGATGATTCGAGTAGAATGAAAAGAATCCACAGATTGAAAGGAAATGGATTGAATGAGCAAGTAGAATGAAAACTGAATGATTCAAGTAGAATGAAAAGATGAATCGAGGAGATGGATTGAATGATTCTAGAATGAAAAAATCCGATAAAGAAAGATTGAATGATTTGTGAAAAGCGGTATACAGGGAGATGGATTGAATGATTCAATCGAATAAAAAGAGTTCTCAGCAAGAGAGGAGATGGATTGAATGATTCTTAGAATGAAAAGACCACACTTCATCGAACCTTGCGAACGGGTGTTACAGAATGATTCAGTAAATGAAAAGAATCCACAGAAAGAACTGTGAATGAATAATGAAAAAATCCACAGATATGATCGAGGAGATGGATTGGATTTTAGAAAAGCAGCCAGGGAGATGGATTGAAAATGTATATCAACAGATAGAAAATAACGACATAATCAAGATGATGCCATTCCATACTACTTCAAGTTAAAGTTTAAGAAGGAAAAAATCCACAGATATACTAGGGGAATGGATTGAATGATTCAAGTAATGGACCCCAAAAAAATCTTTTAAGAGAAAGACTTTATAAATTTCAATTGAGTGTGAAAAGGACAGGCATAAGGCCAAAGATTTTTCTTGAAAAGAAAACAACAAGTAATATTATCCTTATCATTATTGAAATCAAGTAGAATACAATCAATGAATGATTCAATAGAATGAAACAATCAAAGTGATGTGTGTTGAATGATTTGAAGCGACGGAATGAACTACTGAAACCAATTAAATGGTTTGAAAGATATTAGCAGAATGAAATGGATTAATATATTTGAGCCACGGGAAATGGCTTGAATGATATGAACACAGGAGTCAGTGTAAAGCGATAATAATCAAGTGATCTGTTATGTAATATCGACCCTCTTATATGACAGTAAATTGCTGGACAGTCTGCTCACAGATGAAGAAGAGACTTGAAGAAAAAGAAATGTGGTTTTACCGAACGATTCTGAGAATACCATGGACTGAACATGTGAGTAACGAGGAAGTTTTAAAGAAAATGGAAACAAAAAAGGATACTTATACTTAACATCAGGAAGAGACAATTGAATTTCCCAGGGCACATAATGAAGAAATAGGGGATAGAAACTGTAACACACACAGGACCCGTTGAAGGCAAGAGAAACAGAGAAAACTGCGCATAACCTAACCAAGGAGCATGTATAAATAGCAGAATAGTGATTAGGAGAGATAGCTAAAAAATGACAAAATATAGTAATAGCTACAAAGGGGAGGAAATTGTGGAGTGTCATGATCGCCCACGTCTTGAAGGGATATGTCAAAAGAAGAAGAAAAAGAAGATATAATGTGAAGTATATGAACGGAATGAAATAGATTAATAGATATGAAGCGAATAATATCGATTGGATAATATGAACCGTGTGATATTGTTTTGACGAATATAACTGAGGAGTGAGATTGATTGATAGGTAGGAACGGATTTATTTGCATGGATTGATATAAATCAATTGAGACTGATTGACAGCTATGAACCAATTGCAATGGCGTTTTTTTTTATAAATGGAGTGCATTGTATTAAAAGATATGTATCGAGTGAGAAGGATCGAGTGAGAAGGATTAATACAAATCGATCGATTAATATATATATATATATATATATATATATATATATATATATATGAGATGTCAACTGGAAACAATCTTATTTTATTTTCGACTTTTTCAAGACAAAAATGGAATCGAAATATTTTTGTTGTTATAGTTACATTACAAAATCCAGATTTAAAAAAGAGACACTTCTGCGTAAGCCTCTTTCTGATTAATGTAAATTTCCTTTATCCTAAGTGCTTTTTTCTTTCCATGTCGACAATATAGTTAAATTCACAGATCAATTCTATTTACTATAAATATTTTATTTGTATCGATTATTAAAACGACTAAGTAAATTTAGTAACTTAAGTTGATTTACCTCCCTTCGCATTACAGCTGCGACAGGAAATATATAAATAAATACACATTGATAATTATTATATGGTTTAATTGTAAGTGCACGACAGCTGGTTTTTCATACAGTGAAATATTAGAAGTAATTTTGTTACGGTGACACTGCAAATAACTGTATTATAAAAATGCATTGAAATTCAGAATGAAAGTGATTCTCAGCGTTGATGCCAGTGTTTGTAACAGAACAGATTATTTAAATGTAAAATTAAGTTCATTTTCACATGAACAAAACCGAGATATAAGTCAAAAGATTTAGCGTTAGTCACATTTTATATTCTTATCGAAAGATTCACCACGTTTATGAGTATCATTTAAAACGTCATTTCAATTATTAAACATTGGCTTAATATGATACCGGATATGTAGAAATGGGATCATGGGACAGAATTTCAGAAAATGGATTTATTACTCAGGTTTTGAATACAAATGCATAGGCATTATATAACCCAGACTGATTATGGGAATATGTTAAAAACTTTTTTATCTAAGTATGTTCATATCTATCTATCTATCTATCTATCTATCTATCTATCTTAGTCTGCTTATTATTGACTATCTATCTAGCTATCTATGTAAGTTTGTTCATGTCTATCTATCTCAGACTGTTCTTATCTATCTATCTATCTACCTATCTATCTATCTTATGCCTTTTATATCTACTGATCTTCAGCAATTTTTTTTTTCTTTTATATTTCTTCCCTCTTCCATAGTTTAATATTTATGGAATTAAGCAGTTGTTTAAATTACCTAATTATTTTAATAAGAAATTATGGAATTATTTTAAATTCTTACACAGACTCATTCTCTCTCTCTCTCTCTCTCTCTCTCTCTCTCTATATATATATATATATATATATATATATATATATATATAATAAAAAAAATATGGAAAAACAAAAATCTGAATATGCAAATATGCTGTTTTAATGTTATTTGCATATTTCCATATTCGGATTTTTGTTTTTCCATATATTTTTTCTTCATACTGTCGGATCTATATCCATACATTTATATATATATATATATATATATATATATATATATATATATATATATATATATAAGAAAAGAAGAAAATGCTGCTGTAAAAAAACGAAAAAAGTCTACATAAGATCGATAAAGAGTTATTGATTTCTGTTTATTGATTGGCCTCGCTTTGCTGACTTTCATCAACCAATGTCATACAATATTCTAGCCACTTCCAGCCATCATAAATAATTATTTTCAACCTTGTAAAAAGGAGGTACGTCAGAATTGTTGAATTATTCCCTATTTGAGCATCAGTAACAGAAAATGACCTAGCAGTTGTGAAAATAATAAATAAAATAAAAACATTTTAAAAAGAATTTCAGATGCTAAAATGGCATCAACATTTACCATTTTTGTATTCTTCAAACACATCCTTATTTAATGTAAAAAATTAATTTTGCCATAAAAGCCGAACTGAAAAATTCCAAATAAATTGAAAAAAAAAACATTCATTGTAGATTTTGTTTCCTGTCAAATTAGAAACAATATAATGTTTTTCATTAAATAATGCAAGCATCAAGAAAAATGACTTTTGAGTTTTACTGACTTATTTTTTAAAGATTCAGATTTTTTTCATTTACATATATATATATATATATATATATATATATATATATATATATACTCGACTCTCCCGTCGAATTCGATGTATGAGGGTCAAGCAGATCAGTTCCCAGGAAACCGACAACAGCACATGGGATTTGATTATAGTGGTGAAGGTTTCGTGCAGGACAATCCACACCTTTTGAAGGGCAGAATACAGAGATCTAGTGCACTATATATATTACATAGAAATCCAAATTTTAAATAAATATTCCTTCACACATCTGAGTTGACAATGCCAACAATATAGGACTTGTTGGTTGAAATAGCTATTTGAATGAGGTAAATTTGAATTTCTTTTCTGTCATTTATATACTCGGTTATAATAAATAAATTGAGCTCTCTTTGTGGATCAGTTTTAATATTTTATATTATTAGGATTCACTTGGATTATATACCAACGGATTATTACTAATATATATATATATATATATATATATATATATATATATGTGTGTGTGTGTGTGTGTGTGTGTGTGTGTGTGTGAGAGAGAGAGAGAGAGAGATAACGATATATTTTTTATATATCAAGAACAGTATTGACGAAGTTGTAAAACAAAATGAAAAAAAAAGTTTATTTGTGACGCGTTTCATCCATTAGGACTTTATCGGGCTGGGTTTGTTGATGTTGTTGTGACTACGCATGCGCATGAACGAGAGACAGTTGTAATTGTGATAAAGTTAGTGAGTAGATTAATTACAGAAAAGAATGTATCTCAACTCAACATCAAATATGTCACAACTACATCTAAAACAATAAAAAAGAAAAACTTAATCGATACAAAAAAAGAAAGAAAAAAAATAAAAAATAAAGCCAAAACTTGAAGGAGTAATTTACTCTATCAATTGTAAGGATTGCCAGAAACCTTAAGAGGTTTTAACAAAAGATTATATGAACACAAAAGATACATTTTAAGAAACAACGCACAAAATGCATTGGTTGTTCACCGTAACGAAAATGACCACAATTCTAACATAAAAAATGCTACTTTAATTAAAAGAGAAAATAGTTCATCGATACGAAAATGTCTAGAAAATGCATTAATCGCTAATTCAGCCACAGTAAATTTACGCCCAGGTTCATACAATGCAGTGGCGTAGCTAGGGGGGCGATGGGGGTGGACCGCCCCAGGTGCCAGCACAGGAGGGGTGACACAATGTCGCCCCCAACAAAATTTTTCAACCAGGGTAAGGTGCCAAAAATAGTCTGAAAACAGTGGTGGAGACACAGGGTTTCGCAGGCAATGTTTTCAGCTTTCATGTGTTTCAGTTGCTACAATCTTGGTTACTAACAAGAGACATTGTTGTAACATTTTATCGGATGATATGGTGTTTTAACATCATTAATAACAACAAAGCGAAATACGAAGCCAAAAGTGCACCAATTTCAGTCTTGCTTGTGTATCAGTTCGCTGAGATCCAATTTTCCAATGAGTGAGCGATATACTTTGAATATATCTACTAGTGTTAGGACGATTAATCGGAATCGGAATCGAGAATCGGAAAAATCGGACCTTTTTTGGATATCGGAAAAATTTGTGCCTATTTTCCGATTCCAAAAACGATTCTTTTAAATTTTTAACTTAATTTTCCATTATTGGTACTAATTATAAATATTTATTGTTTTTAAATTATCACTAAAACTAAAATCATAATAACATCAAAAATACGATGTAAATTTATTTTACTTGTATAAAAAAAAAAAAAAAATAAACTTTGCATAAATTCTCTAGGTAACCTTTAAAAGAATGCAGTTGATTTACAATGTTCGAAAAATGCTTAAAAATTAAATAGAACATTTTTGTCAAGAAAAATACTTTCAAACATCATTGATAATTAAATGGTACCCAGAAAATGATGCAACGGAAAATTGGACACCGGAAAATTAGCAACAGAAAATTACGTCAACCATGAGCCAGTCGAGACTGTCGGATCTGGCTGTGCTGTCCATTGAAAACGAGCTTACAAGACAAACAGATTTTGACGATGTCATTGACTAGTTTGCCACAATGAAAACAAGAAAACATTCATTCTAAGACCATAGTATCGAATGTCATTCTTTTGTGTATTGCCGTGTTTTATATTTAGTTAAATCTTTTGATTTGAACTGATTATTTTGTGGTATTGGATTTTGTCTTGGATCATACATGTAAACAGTAACGTACCGGTCAGTAGAGTAAAGTAGAGGTAGAGCATGTATGAAAATTTAGCTACAGCTAACCATTCAGCATAGGGTAAATCGGGGTCATTGGGGTGACATTTGAGCGGACCACCGCGGGTAATGTTTACTCTAGCTACGCCACTGATACAATGTATCACCATTCTTGGCAGATTTTCTGTTATCCGAATGTCGGACATTTAAAAAGCAAAGATTATGGAAATAAAAAGAATATATGTAGATTAATTTTGCAGAGTTTCTGTTATCGCAATGTGCCATATTTAAAAACAAAGATGATGGAAAGAAAAAGAAAATGTATATAGAAGAATTTGGCTAGATTGCAAAAACTATTTCAAAAAATTATTTCAAAAAGAAATTTTGAAATTACCAGCGTCTCTCATTCATGCACATGTCTAGTCGCAACAACATCAACAAACCCACTCTGATGAAGTCCTAACGGATGAAACGCGTCACAAAGAGACTTTTCCCATTTTGTCTTACCCCCCCTCTCTCTCTCTCTCTCTCTCTCTCTCTCTATATATATATATATATATATATATATATATAGGGTGTAACAGCAAAATTGTCCCCCGTTGTGTAACAGCATAATTGACGAGCCTACAAAATGTTCCAGGTTTTCAGATAAGACGTTTAGCCACCTTGATACCATTTGTAGTAAAAATCTCTGACAGATCCT